ATTTTCAACCTGATTTATATATTGTGGTGACATATGAGGTTTTCCAATAGTCCGGGAATTTGCCAGATGATAGGGAATTATTAAATATATAGAAAAGTGGTCGAGCTAAAATAAAGCTAAATGATTTAAGAAAAGTTGGAGGCAGAGTAATTGGTTTCATTGGGAAGCTGGATTGATTTGGTCGATTCTGAATAGGTGTGAATCACAATAAACCCTCTCGGGTTGCAACGTCTAAAATACTCACTCACTTTGAACTTACCTACATAAAATGTTTCAGATTTTACTTTAATTATTTCGCCAACAAATGGAATCGATAGTATTATTACTACCTTTGTCTTTCGAGTACCTAAACGTTAAGTGATCAGAAATGTTGAGTGCTTAGGCTAAATAAGAAATTTACAAAGGTATTAAATGAGATACCTCTAGATATACTTTCTCACTTCATTCATTGGTGAAAACAATATGTGCACCATTTGCACTTTTGCTAAAGTAACACAAGTCAGTTGATTTCGTAAGCATGAAAATTGCGTACTCGGAATTTGATGAAGTCGACGAAGGCCGTTTCGGTCTGGTCCTGATTGGCGAAGCTTTTACCGGTGAGAAAATTATCGAAGTGCTTGAAAAGATGGTAGTCGGTTGGCGGGAGATCTGGGGAGTATGGTAGGTGAGGCAGAACGCGCGGACGGGCAATGTCGTGGAGCATGATCGAACCTCTTCTGCTTTCCAGTGCTGGCTGCTGCCGACACAATTTCGATGTAATCACTATAGAACTCTGCTGTTATAGTTTGCCCCGGTTGTAGAAAGTTATACTGAATCACATCAACCGCTGACCATCATACAGTAACCATGGTCTTTTTTGCTGGGATTTTATCTTTGTGAAGTACCTGGGTGTCTCATCGGTGTCTAATCACTGTCTTGAACGTCTCCTGTTGTCGTTGAAGATTCACTATTCATCACACATTATGATCCGATCAAAAACAGTATCGTTTTGGTTACGTAAAAGTAAAGCAGAACAGACCTCGAAACCTGACAATTTCTGTCGATCTTTCAAATCGTGGGGCACCCACTTTTCGATTTTTTGACCTTTCCAATACGTTTCAAACCAACAAAAACCCCATGGGAACTGACACCTAGGTCTTCCTGATCTGCCATGACATTTAGTTTTACCTGTAGTTCTATTGGGCTATCTGCTTCTTCAGCCATAGGTGTATTGTCAGCAAATAGGACTAAACGATTGAATCTAATTGTTAGATTAGAGAGCTTGAAACCAAACCCTGTGGAACTCCTGTATTAATGCCGTCACATCTGAAATATTATCTTTATCTCATTATATTGTAGTTATTGTGGGTGGATTGAAAACAATCACGTTGTTTGTATATATTGTCTCTGAGGTACTTTTACATTCAAACCTGGATTTTTTTCCTGCACAGCTGGGAATCGCGAAGTAACATAATAATTCGCAACAAAAAAATGCGATGAATTACGTTCACTTGGTGTACTATGCATGATGGCATTGAAATCATTCGCTATTCTATAAATATATGTAACGGATGAACACTGCACCAACAAATCACCTGATGAGCACGAACACACCTGTGTCAAGAATGCAGTTCACATTATAATCAGCATAATTCTCCATAGATGACACGACCTATTTCACTCACTATTTGAAGGCTCAATAAATAGTACGGCGTTTGAATCTGCATCGATATGTAAATTGTGATGGATCGTCGTGACGTTTTTCATCAAGGTTTATTAGAGAAGGTGGTAATTTGGTATCGGATGTATTGAAGAAGGAATCAATCGTTGTTAGTCGGAATCGATATTATTAGAAGGTGTTGAGCCCACATTTCAAATTATTGGTCGGTGTTTCAATTTGAGTCCAATGGGCTCGTACAATGAAATATTTTTTCAACTCATTAGAAAGAAAATTTATGTAAGAACATTTTTTCCAATCGTCGTATTTCTAGATTTTAATTTATGAAATTATAAAATGGAAGGACTGTGACGTCACGGGTTTGTTGTCCCTTGTTGTTTCATCGACCAGTAGACTTCTTTTATGCACGCGATTTCTGTTTTGTATAGGGTGTTACCCAATTGCGGTGAAAAANAAAGTTTTGGGTTAATAAAAATATATTGTGACAATTTGTTCAAAATGGTATGTCACGGAACTTAATGTGACAAACCAAATTCTACTCGGGCGAAGCTGCGTACAACAACTGGTATGATATAAACGTTACCTAGAACTGACTTCAAAGAACAAAAGCGTAATGTGCTTTCAGAGTTATAACGAGTTGTCAATTCATCCCTGTCGAGTACCTATGGACGTAAATTATTGTTAGGCCATTTGCAATCATAGTCACATTACATTTACCTGCAGATGTTTCGATTTTACATTTACATTTACATGTAAAATCGAAATATGTCATGTCATCCCTATTACTGTTTTATCCTATAACTGTCAGGGGAGGTCACTGTTATTGATAAACGACGATATCCTCAGAATGTGAAAGTCCTTTATCTCACGAAAAAATGACGTTCATTACTAACAGTCTAACGCTGAATATTGAAAATAGATCGTCTTATATGGTAAAAAGGGCACAACATTCGTACTAGCAAGTATGCGTGTTGTTATGACGGTCTGGCGGCATTGGGATCTTGATCTATTTTATCAATAATTTCATACCAACTTTTTGTTTCAGTCATGAACTCCAAACATGTGACTGGCCGAGGAACGTAGGCTGCGACGGCCTTGAAGTATCTGGATCGCCTGCAGCATATTCTTCGTCCAGCGCTTCTTCCAGAACTAAAGAAAGAGAACGAGAAAGAGATAACGAGAAGGAACGAGTGAGAGTCGACCAGAGACAGACCAGCTACTCCTCTCTCCCACCCCCACCACCTCCACCACAGCCAGCAGCGGTTGTGACATCAAGAGGACAGCCAAGAAATTTACATCATTCGCAACAAAGTCTCATAAAGGTAAAAATTATGTTAAATGATGAAAGTTTACTAAATAGGAGATAATCAAATTCACCGAACAAGCTACATCCTGAAAACTATATCCATATCAGTTCTTATCGCAGTTGACTCTGCGAGAAAATATACTTCATTGAACACAGTGAGAGAAGAAATAAAGGAGTAAACATCGAGGTTTAACCATGTAGAAAAACACATGAAGTAAATAAGTATTACCCACACTACTCTGGCAATTTCGCATTTCAGAACTTTCTTGTCAAGTCCCGTAAACAACGTGGTGACCCCAGTCCACTAAAATGATATACTATATATTATTATTGTCCCAAAGGGTAAGATGGTTTTGCCCTGTCGCCGAAGCTCCGGCATATTCGGGAAGGCGCGAATATCGTCTTGCTCTGTTGATCGAGAAGAACTACATCAGGCTCATTAATGTGCATGGGCAAAGTGAGGGGATTGAATAGTTTCAATAAATTCGACACTTCTCATTCACCACAACGTATTAACCGGGGCGTAGGTGCCGTAAATGGTAATAAAGCACTCTCAGGACCGCGTTATGTCTATGGATATAGGCTGAGACCGTATATGCTGGCAGCAAACCCCTTAGGGTCTCAGGCGCCTCGCGGCAAGCCCTGCACCTTATGCAAGGAACCTCTATACCCATCATGCGACTGCGGTAGATTAAGGTGTAGAAGACACCATCTTGGTAGACCATGACAAACAAATTATTATCCTTAAGGCCATATCCCCCGAAGCCCCGATACATTCGAAGAAGCATTTTTAAGCAATGACCATTTCCCACACCGTGGGGCATTGAGTCCGAGAATCATGTGCCCTAAGCAAGAGCCGTGAGCCAAAAATGACAGCCTTCTGCTACATCATTACACTACACTACTACATCAGGCTCATTATCTTGTATGAGCCTGAGGGTGGGGAACGAGTAGTTTCAATCAATGCGGCACTTCTCGTTTCCCACAACGGACTCAATATCCTCCGGAGCGTAAGGCAACACCGGTGTCTCGTCAACATCGTAAAAGTGCCTTAGGTAGCGAATTACTTTTTTTTACCTAAGGTTGTGCTGGTCGATCCCTATCCCCGGAAGCCTCAATAAATTTAGGAGGGCATACCAATCAAGCGGCAAGCCAGCCGCACTAAGGCACTATTATCATGATGAGTATTATTATCATCATCATTATATTTCATATTAGCTATTGCATGCAACTTACTTCGTATGGTGTTCCCAGTTTTTTAACAGCAAAATAATCTCATGTAATAATGAAAAAAATTATTTACAAACCATTAATATAGTAAACCAAAAATTCTCTCTAATTTGTTTTCAACAAATGTTTGTCATAA